ATATATATTTCTGCTTTGAGATCAGTGTGTATGTTTGTGCATCAAAGTTTATCCCAAAGGCTGGTACTTCCATTCCCCTGTGTTGTAATGCAACATCGAGTGCCTCATCTTGCCAAAGAGCCAATGTCAGCCAAGATTAAGGAAGGTCTTCTTCTCATCTTCATGGACATTTCATTGAGTGAGTAAGCAAACCCTCCCCAAGTTGACCTGGTTAAACAAAGCAATGCAGGCTGCCGAGATGAGACACAGTCAATCAGGACGAAGGAACAGCTTCCTGTCAGCACAGGGGGAGGCAAATACATCAACATCACAACCTGTCACCACCACTTAGCTCTCAGCCAATCACTAAACAATGCTGAAAAGCTGCCAACTGACTTCTTTGTGGCACAATGTGTAAACACATCGGAGGACAGGGTGTTGGAGGCTAGAAAATATTGACCACCGTGGTCTGTTTGTGTCTACTGTAGCTGGAGGGAGGCCGAGCGCGCTACAGGAATGTACCAAGCTATTACTGTCACAGTGCAGATGTATGGCAGCTATAAAAGATGGATACATATTGTGTGGGGCTCTAAAGGAAACAAAATGTTGCACAAGACTTAAGTTACACTGGATTAGTTGAGAACAACAAAATGTAGTTTTCACCACTTTTAAAACTGATTGGGACATTTTGTTTTTGCCTTAAATTAACATGTGCATGGAGCTACCCTTTACTCAAAATAATACTAAATGCATCTGCTGTCCTTTTTATGATATGAGCTCAAAGGAAAAGAAAAAAAAACTGATCACTTAAATCATTTTGTAAACAGTGCAATGACAGAGTTATGATTTAAGAGATTGAGAATAGGGTCCCCATTCTGGCACCCCCCTCTGCAATGATCTGGTTTCCATTGCTGTAATAGTGGCCAATGAGGCGTGACTGTAGTGTATTGGGGGCCTAACTGTGAGGTATGATTCCCCCTGTCTGTCGAGAGCAAGGTCCATCCAACTGCAGTCATCACAGGCAAAAGGCTGGAACAGAACCACATCAGCACAACTGACAGAGACAATGAGACTTTATGACACTAATAGGTTCAGTAATTTCCKGTTTGCAGTGACGAGCCAGGCAATACAGAGCAACTGAGAGAGTTAAAAAAAGTCATTCTGTTACAATATTATTGCAATATTGGTAGAGGGTGAATTCATGGACAACTATTCTGAWGACTGCATATATACTGATACTCTGTTGTGTCTCAGTCTTGAAACTAAGCAGGAATACTATTAGTATTTATTATAGTGRCTTGGRCTAGCTAAAAGATCATTAAAATGATCATTTAAGGAGAACTGCGTTTACAACATCTGAAAACTTCTTCACAGTACTGAGTTTATAAGATGTAACAAAATACTTCATGATCTGTCAATAACTTGATGTGTTCCTATGAACTAGTTGAACTATTTTAGCTAATTTATTTACCGATGACAGATTTTCTTTAAGTATGACTGCCCTCTGTAGTTTCACATTAATCCATTCTATGCAAATGCATGCTGCATTTGTCTACTCCGACATGAAATTGCAGTTTTGTATATTAATTTAGCAATTATATTGTGGGCTGATTCCAAACGTTTGCAATCAGATTTACATTTAATTGTGACTCTGAGAGTTGTGATAAAATTCAAAGTGTGGCCTCTGTCAAACAAAATAAAAAAAGGAAAAATGAGCTCAATAACTGTAAAATAGTCTGAATAACAGGTTAGCTTTGTTTTTATGATTAGTTGGTTATGGCAGCCATCTTGGATTGGGGTAGTGGCAAAAGTTGTGKATTTATCATATATCCTGTGTTTACTTTGTGAACATTCTATTAAAACTTGTCCAGTGGTTCACAAGATATTCCATTAACAGACACACACACACAGAATAAAATAAAATAAAATAATAATAAAAAAAACACCGTTTGGCAGCAGAATATTTGTGGCTGTGAAACCATTAACTACAAGTCTGTGCATCACTTTAATGTCTTCRGTTGTTTAACTGAGTGTGAACAAAGTATATTTGATAATAAAACAGGGCAATCTAAAAAAACTTGTTCTTTGCATTGACACAATAAAACACTGCCCCTGAATCTCTCTTTCAATTAGTCTCCACTAAAGTTACAGTTGAGAAAAATCTCACAAAGCTCGGAGCTCTAATTATTTAAACTACTTCCACCATTATATGCATGAATGTGAGACTAAAATCTGGGTGCATATTATTTCAACAGCATGAAGCCTGATGTGGCACATTAGCAAATTCAAGAAACTCAGGACTAGCCTAGCAGCTCTGAAACACTATTTTGATTCTTTTTAATACTGCAACGACCCCAAGGAATTTTCAGCTATCGCACTGAAGCTCCATTCTGTTTCCCAAGGCTGACAAGGATGACATTGAATATTTTCAAATGGCAYGACATGAAAAGATGACAGGGAAAGAACAATGGCTCACCAAACTGATTACAGTGTCCTTCAGAATTACCAGTAATAACTTAAAGATTTCCTTTTCCTCTGATTTGATTTTCAAAATCCAGCTTGACTTCTTGAAACTTCTTTCTCAAAATGTTTTAATCCACACAGATATGAAAAAATAAAATAATTAAAAAAAAAACACTGTTATGCCAGGTCTGCATTTAGTGCAGTAATGCTTAGGCAGCAGAAAGAGAAAAGTAATAATTAACATGGGTAATTTTTTGGAGGATTTGTAATTGTACCAACATTTTTTTAATTAGTACTTTTATTTTGTTACAATTAAAATCTAAAAACACTACTTTTACTTCTTTACTTTAAAAATTTAACACAGTTGTTTCAAAAACAAATATGTCCAAACTCATCATGAAGAGTGGCTTATGGACTCTAAAAAAGTGTTGAATTTACTACATCAAGCCGTGTCGACAGGTTCCACTAAATCAAGTTGTGTAAACTGAGCAATACACATACTGTATCTTCTGAAGAAAATATGAATATTGCTCAATTTATTCAGCTTGGTTTAGTGGAACCAGTTTGGCTCAGCAAATTCAGCAGTTTGTTTCTTAGAGCGTGTGTAATAGTACTTTTACTTTCTCAATTTTTGTGAACAGACTATTACTTACTGTATGGCTCTCAGTGAAATTTATTTTTTACTAAAGTAATTTTCTGTTAAGGCATTTTACTTAGTTACTTTTTCAAGTACTTTATAGACATGCTGGTGAAGATACAGGTCATGATCAAAATAAAGAGTTAAAAACAAAAACTGGACTTTCAAATGAAACTGGAATTGAAAGTCCAGTTTGTTTTTAACTCTTGATTACTTTATGGACCTCTGATAGATTTTAAAAGGTGGTGTTTTGTTTTTATTTGAAAGCCTAAGGTGGTATTTGACAAGACTCTACCAAGAGTCAGAGGTGAGTGGAACTGAGACACCAAACACAAGGGATTAAAGCGATTTATTTACAGGTGCAGGATCAGTTTTGGTCAGAGCCGACTCTTGGCATAGGCGAACTAGGCGGTCACCTAGGGCACCATCTGCTGGAGGGGGCGCCGAACTGTAGAAGAAAAAAAAGTGATTATTTGTAATCCCTGGTTGTAACTCTGCTCAGCGCCCCTTTCAATTAGCTTTGTCTTAAAACACTATAATGAAGTATTACAGGAAAAATAAACTACTCTACCCATAAAACATCCCCCCCCCAAAAAAAAT